CCCAACATTTTTGGAGTATTATGCTTTATTAGTTCAAGAAAGATAAAAATGCAACCGAAATGGAAAAAGTTTATGCAGTGAGTAAGTGGAGAAGGTGCTGTGACTAACAGAACATGTCAAAAGTGGTTTGCAAATTCTTGGTACTATCGACATTTTGGCCAAATAAGTCTTTGCTGTGAGACTGTCTTACACATTGGAAGATGTTTAATAGCACCCCTGGCCTCTACCCACTAGAAGCCAATAGTGGGAGATAGCCAAAATAATCAGAATATCCAAGTAAATAAAGTTATTGGTGAAAATGAAAAATGTGTCTTTTATTTTACAGAATAAATAAATGGATTTCTTTGCCACCCCAAATACACAAATACAACGGACTTTTTTGTGTATTGATCTTGTATTCTGCAGCCTGCTGTGTTACACTCATGTATTCTAATAGTTTTGTGAAGAGTCTTTTAGAGTTTCACATGCTTTTTAATTATTTTATTTTGTTTTTAAAAAGATTTTATTTATACGTTTTTTTTTGTTTTTGTTTTTTTTTGAGAGAGGAGAAAGGAGGGAGAAAGAGAGGGAGAGAAACATCACTGTGTGGTTGCCTCTCACATGGCCCCCACTGGGGACCTGGCCCACAACCCAGGCATGTGCCCTGACTGGGAATCAAACTGACGACCCTTTGGTTCACAGCCTGTGCTCAATCCACTGAGATACACCAGCCAGGGCTCACCTCCTTTTCTTAAAGGTGATTTTTCTAGCTGGACAACCTGCTTATGGTATTGTTGCCATGTATAAAGCGCACCTTTTTTGCCCAAATTTTTGAATGAAAAATAAGGGCGCATGTTATATGCATGGGACGTAAATTTCCATGTATAATGCAAATTAGCACTAAAATATGTGTGTGCAGTATACACAGCAAAATACAGTAGTTTAAACTTTAGTTGTGTCCCACTGATGGTAGGTTTTGATTTCCTGACTGTGTGGATGGTGTCATTATAAGTCTTGCCTTGGGTTTTCAAAGGGAGGGAATGTAGAGCACTAACAATAAATTTTGTGAATAAGACTTGTGTAGAATGAGGACAGTATTTTCATGGAGCTGTATGATTCTGAGTTCCTGTTTAACAGAAGACAGGCTGATGTCCTGTAGTCTGTACTCCTTGGATTGTACATTTTGTAGAAATAAAACAGTTGAGTGGAAATAAGTAAGCAGTTCTGTAGGCACTTCACACTAATGAAGTGAAGTAGCCTAGCACTGATTTCTGTTATCTTGTGTGTTTCCAGTGTCTGTGATGCAATCATAAAATGGTGAGGCCAACAGTGCACACTAGACATGGACAGATCACAGCATGCTATCTGTATCTATCTATCTATCTATCTATCTATCTATCTATCTAGAGTTTGTATTTAGAGTGTGATGCTGAGTTGGAATTCTGTGGGTTTTGCTAAGAGCTGGAGATGTTTGTAATTTGTTTCCTGATTTAGAGCCCAGGAAGAGCCGTTTTATGCCAGTTAATCTGGATTTCAAGTATGTGTGATGTCTAAAAAACTGTTCCTTATTGTGGATTATTATATTGAAGGTGAGTTAGGGAGTAAGGAAGCTTGTAAACTTAAGAGTTGTGGATTTACTTCCTGGTAGAAAGTCAGCGCTGGTTAATATTTTATGGAGTAAGGACACTGAGTTGGGTCTGTCTTTTGTTAAACAGGGACCTATTTTCATAGTCTGCTCCCAGTTACTTTCTCCCAGTTTGATTTCATGTTTTTCACGGTTTTTTTTTAATTTTTATTTTTTAATATATTTTATTGATTATGCTATTACAGTTGTCTCGTCATCCTCCCTTCGTTCCCCTCCACGCTGTACACTCTCTCCCACCTATATCCCCCCTTTAGTCATGTCCCTATGTCATACTTATAATTTCTTTAGCTTCTACATTTCCCATACTATTCTTACCCTCCCCGTATCTATTTTCAACCTACATTCTATGCTACTTATTCTCTGTACCTTTTCCCCCTCTCTCCTCCCACTCCCCTGTTGCTAACCCTCCATGTGATCTCCATTTCTGTGGTTCTGTTCCTGTTCTAGTTGTTTGCTTAGTTTCTTTTGCTTTTGCTTTAGGTGTGGTTGTTAATAATTGTGAGTTTGCTGTCTTTTTACTATACATGTTTTTTCTTTATCTTCTTTTTTTAGATAAGTCCCTTTAACATTTCATAAAATAAGGGCTTGGTGATGATGAACTCCTTGAACTTGACCTTATCTGAGAAGCACTTTATCTGCCCTTCCATTCTAAATGAGAGCTTTGCTGGATAGAGCAATCTGGGATGTAGGTCCTTGTCTTTCATGACATGGAATATTTCTTTCCAGCCCTTTCTTGCCTGGAAGGTCTCTTTTGAGAAATCAGCTGACAATCTGCTGGGAACTCCTTTGTAGGTTACTGTCCCCTTATCTCTTGCTGCTTCTAGGATTCTCTCCTTCATTTTTACCTTGGCTAATGTAATTATGATGTGCCTTGGTGTGTTTCTTCTTGGGTCCAACTTCTTTGGGGCTCTCTTCGCTTCCTGGATTTCCTGGAAGTCTATTTCCTTTGCCAGAGTGGGGAAGTTCTCCTTTATTATTTGTTCAGATGCATGCTCAATCTGTTGCTTTTCCTCTTCCCCCTCTGGTACCCCTATAATTTGGATGTTGGAACATTTAAAGATGTCCTGGAGGTTCCTAAGCTTCTCCTCGTTTTTTTGTTTGTTTGTTTGTTTTTTGAATTCTTATTTCTTCATTCTTTCCTGCTTGGTTGTTTTTTTCTTCCTTCTGGTCCACTGTATTGTTTTGAGTCCCAGTTTCCTTCCCTTCACTATTGGTTCTTCGTGCATCTTCCTTCATCTCTTTTATGGTAACCTGCATTTTTTCATGTAATTTGCGCCCAAAATCAACCAATTCCATGAGCTTCCTGATCACCAGTGTTTTGAACTGTGCATCTGATAGATTGGATATTTCTTGGTCGCTCAAAAGGATGAGTCCTGGGGCATTGATCTATTCTTCTGTTTGAGACATGTCTCTCTCTCTCTCTCTCTTTTTTTTGGTCTGGTCGCTCCTGTTACAGTGAGGGCTAGAGCCTTAGGTGTTCACCGGGGCTGGGCACCCCAGTCGCTAGATTGTGACGTTGTATGTGGGGGCAGGGGCGGGGGCGGGAGGGAACAGTGGTGGGAGCTCCATTCCCCTGGGATTGCTCCGTTCTCCTGGGATCTCAGTCTCTTTTCTGGGATCCTGGGTTGCGCGCTCTGCCCTGGTCCACAATGCTGCCTCGCTGGGTCCGCCAGCTGCCACTTGTGTACTCAGGGTCCACTGCTGCGTCCCGGAAGGCTTACACACTCCCGGTTGCCTTATGCGCCCAGTTCTCCCCGATCTCCGCACGCCTGGACCCATGCCCGCTCCTCCACTCAGCCCCTCCTACCGGTCTGGATGACCGGGTCTACTTCAACTTCTTGGCTGTCCGACTTCCATTCAGATAAATTCTTTGTCATTCTGGGTGTTATTCTGCCTCTAAATTGTTGTTGTTCTAATCTTGGTTGTGCGTGGAGGTTCAGTGCATCCACCTATGCCTCCATCTTGCTGGAAGTCTGATTTCATGTTTTTATCCTTCTAATATTCAGGAATTTCCAGTTGTGTTCTATAGTTTCCCTTTTTAGTTTTTTCTTTGTAGCTATGCATCTATTTATTTTTTTCATGACACCATAGTATAATTTTTCTTTTTTTATTGGTACTATTATTGTGTTCATATGGCAAGTCTACACTGCTCACTTGATTTATTAGATTTCTTGTGTATGGGAAGTTTGACAGGCTTCTAAATAAAATTTTTTATAGTTATTTTGCAAGATTATATGTTGTGTCATTTGCTCTTTCTGGATATTAAACTTTTGGTTTACCTTCAAATTGTTGAAATTGCTACATTTTATTTGAAAAATATTTGATGAACAAAAATTTTTTAATTTCCTATGTACTCTAAATTCTTAGTCGTGAATAATAGAAATAGATTATTTTAGTTAATCACAAAATGGAAAAGTGACCAGTTTAAAATTTAGGGACTAGGGATCAGTTTAGCTTTCAAGTGCTGTGGTCCTTGCTTTGTTTTCCTCTTCATTCACTGTCAGGGCATTAAAGGGAGTGAGAAGTATGCAGCCTCTGTCACTGCTGGCATTTTGGAAGACTGTAGTTAGTATGTCATGTGAGCTGCAGGAGTTATTATGGTATAAATATGAGAAGCAGTTCTTTATCCCCTGTGTTCCTGCCAACCCTGCCTTACCAGTGCTGTTGAAACTTCTGGGTGTGCTTCCCAGTTTGTGTCTACCTCCTACCCCCTAAGAGGAAGCATTATTTTGAATTTTATATTTCATGATTATTTACTTTTCATTGACAGTTTACTGTATACATATTAAAACCAATATATTAAGTTTCATATGCTTTTGAGAGTCACAAATATATTCAATATATTCCTCCAAGACCTTTTTTTTTTTCATTTCCTGTTGCGGTGTTTCAGATTATGTTGATATATGTAGTTCTAGTTTAGTAATTAATAAAGAGATTGTTTACATGTGAACTGCCTCTGTAAGGAATGAATTGGAGGGAGCCTCTGCTTCATGAGCTTTTTAGCACTGTGTGCTTGCCACAGTATCCAGCCAACCCCCAGACAACATTTCTTAATCACATTTACAAAATGTTCAGACTCTCTTAGGATCGCCCTGATCTTCTTGTTTCTCCTGAGTTGTGTAGGAGAAACTCAGATGCTTCTATTTGAATTGAATAGTATCCTAAAACAAATAGTCAGGTGTGAGCCTCTTGCCTGGGCTTTACTCTGTCTTTATGACTCAAAGTCAGACAGACATTTTAAAAACTTTTTGCTTGTCCAGTGTTAAGTGAAATGAAACAAGATAAATGGTTGGTCCAAGTGGAGAGAGACAAATTGTAAACAGAGCTGAAGTAGAAATTATTATTTACATAAAATAATTTTATTCTTTTGTTTCAGAATATATGCCACACTGCTCTGGACACACCTCTATTGGATTTAATATCAACATCGACTTTCAGCTATGGAATCGGTAAATACTTTATTGCATTACCTTTCATCAGTTTGTGTGTGTTTATTTTCGCTGGTTTGTAGAAAGGAGTGTCAAAATAATGGTTAAGCCACCAAGTTGGTTTTCTTGGGCTTGGTAGAGTTTTGGCTAAGTGTTTTTGAATTTTGTTCTGGATTTTGCTTAGATGAGAGTGTTTCAGAGGTAGTGGTAATGAGCTGTGTGGAGTTAAGAAACAGCATTCCTGGTGTCCTAGTGAGGAATTCTGCAGAAAAATTACACAGGTTAGTAGCTGGGCCTGAAGGAAGTTTGCTTCTTCTCAGCTTCCTTTACCTTAATTGTACCATCCCCAATGAGTCTGGAGGCTACAGGGATTTTGTGCTCGATCCCTGTGTTTGTTAGTCTTGTGCTCTCTGCATCTTGCATTAACACTTTGCATGAATGAGAGCTTCTGAAGTCTGAACATCGTCGCTTCTCTTCTGGGAGAGGCAGTGAGGCCTGGCTGTGCTCGGATCTCTCGTGTCCTATATATCTGCTGCTACACAGTAGCTGCTGGTAGTCTTGGTAGCTACTCCATGGTATTCCTAGAAGTTTGAGGGGTGTGTGTGTGTGTGTGTGTGGTCCGTGGGTAAGGCATGGGAATTTTTTGCTAGGTTGCCCTGACTCCTTGCCTCTGAGGAGTTACTGGCAATTTTGGGGGGAGGAGGGGCAGCTGTTTTTTAGAGACTCGGGTCTTAGATCTGACCCAGCACCTGCTGCTCCTGACTCAAAACCCTTCCTTGGGAGATGCATCACATTGTTATGCATTTTTTCTCTGTTATGTTGATTGGTAACATTTGGAAAGAAAACTCTTCACTCATTTTAGTTTTTCTATGCCATTGCCACATACAGTGTTTTTAAGCATACAGTCCAAAAGTGTATTATCTGTTGTGTTGTTGTTCCTGACAGACATGAAGGAAACCTTTCCTGATACTTTGTTGGCAAGTGTTCTTAATCTACCAGAATCTGTCCTTTATTTTAGCTGTCAGCGAATCAGGCCACTTTGAAATGAACCAGGCTGTTTTTGTTGACTTGATTGAAATATATTTTTAAAAAGACCTTATTTATTTTTAGGGAGGGGATGGGAGGGAGAAAGAGAGGGAGAGAAACTTCGATGTGTGAAAGAAATACCAATTGGTTGCCTGTCGTACATGCCCCAACCAAGGACCCCTATGGACCCTGACTGAGACCTTTTGGTTTGCGAGATGATGCCCAACCCACTGAGCTATACTAGAAAGAGCTTGAAGTACCGTCTTGGAAATGGCGATAAGGTTTGATGGAAAAGATACTTCGATATCTCTGACATTAGGCCTAGAATTGTCTCCTCTTAATCTGCAGAATGATTAGCAGTTAGAAGAAGCCTAGAAAGTGGGGGTGTTGATGGCCAGATGGAATGGCGATGGGCTTTGTGACACCCTGGGAATGCTTCTCAGGCTTTCCCAGGATATGCACATGGTCTCGGCTTGGTTGTCATAGGTTACCGGGGCAGCCTTTGAGAGACTGGGTCTCTTGAAGACACCCATACCTGGAGGCTGAGCTCTGCCTTTGTTTGGAAACTATAATATTGGCCATAATTTGTGACAAGGAAGAAGAAAATGCTGTTTAAAGTAGGTTCTGAATAAGTATTTGGTGATTTCTGATTAAAAGAAAACAAGTTGTCAGCAACTTTTTGCTGACAGATTCTTGGGTTGCCCTAATTGGTCTAGTGGATTAAGAATAATGGCTGTGTTAATGTTTAGAATTTCATGACATTTGAAGGATTGGCTTTTTTGACCATACCACAGTAATTGTTCAAGGTGTCTAATGCCATTTATCACTTTAGTGAACCATACATATTCAGTTAATAAAAAAATCTGCAGTGTTTAGATTGAATAAAGTTTCTTACTGACATGAGGTGCTGGTGTGACTGCCTAGCCAAGGGGTGTCGAACTCATTTTCACCGGGACCCATATCAGTCTCAAGGTCGCCTTCAAAGGGCCGAATGTAATTTTAGGACTATATAAATGTACTTACTCCTTAACAGTTAAGCGAGAGCTCAGCACTGCCACAGGGTAGAAACAAAACAAGGTGCCTGGCCGGATAAAACAAGGTGGATGGCCGGATTGGGCCCGTGGGCCTTGTGTTTGCCACCTGTGGCCTAGCAGATGGATCTCCTCCTGGGTCAGTGACCCTAATGTGTGAGGGAAGGGGCCAAGTGTTAGGGGATATAGCAGTACGAGTGACTTACTGAGACATACCCTCTACTTTGCAGTCTCTCTAATAATTTTTTATTTTTATTTATATATATAACACTATTTTTCCTTTTACTTTGACCATATAAGGTAGACTATGAGCCATTTAGATCAGATTAAATCAGTTTTTTGATGGGTAGCCTTGTTAAAGCTCCTTTATTGATTTTTGGGTGGATTCTGAGTTGGGCCTACTCTGAGATATTACAGGTGTGGCTGTGGTTGTTTACAGGGGTCTGTGGTGACTGGTACTAGCTTTTTGACCTAGGCCTGTGCCTTTAATATTTTGAGCTGTGGTTCTTCCCCTGCTAAGTAGCAATGGTGATACCCATTTAAAAGGCTTCTTTAGAGATTGTGACAGTTTTTAAAAAATATATTTTATTGATTATGCTATTACAGTTGTCCCGTTATCCTCCCTTCGTTCCCCTCCACCTTGCATACCCTCTCCCACCCACATTCCCCCACTTTAGTTCATGTCCATATGTCATAAGTTCTTTAGCTTCTACATTTCCCATACTATTCTTGCCCTCCCCCTGTCTGTTTTCTACCTACCATCTATGCTACTTACTCTCTGTACCTTTTCCCCCTCTCTCCTCCTCCCACTTCCCTGTTGATAACCCTCCATGTGATCTCCATTTCTGTGGTTCTGTTCCTGTTCTAGTTGTTTGATTAGTTTCTTTTTGTTTTTGTTTTAGGTGTGGTCGTTAATAATTGTGAGTTTGTTGTCATTTTACTATACATGTTTTTTATCTTCTTTTTCTTAGAAAAGGCCCTCTAACATTTCGTTAAATAAGGGCTTGGTGATGATGAACTCCTTTAACTTGACCTTATCTGGGAAGCACTTTATCTGCCCTTCCATTCTAAGTGAAAGCCTTGCTGGATAGAGCAATCTCAGATGTAGGTCCTTGTCTTTCATGACTTAGAATACTTCTTTCCAGCCCTTTATTGCCTGCAAGGTTTCTTTTGAGAAATCAGCTGACAGTCTGATGAGAACTCCTTTGTAGGTAACTGTCTCCTTATCTCTTGCTGCTTCTAGGATTCTCTCCTTCGTTTTTACCTTGGCTAATGTAATTATGATATGCCTTGGTGTGTTCCTTTTTGGGTCCAACTTCTTTGGGACTCTCTGAGCTTCCTGGACTTCCTGGAAGTCTATTTCTTTTACCAGAATGGGGAATTTCTTTTTTATTATTTGTTCAAATAAGTTTTCCACTTGTTGCTCTTCCTCTTCTCCTTCTGGTATCCCTATAATTCAGATGTTGGAACGTTTAAAGATATCATGGAGGTTCCTAAGCCTCTCCTCACTTTTTTGAATTCTTCATTCTTTTCTGATTGTATGTTTGTTTTTTTTTTCCTTCCTTCTGGCCCACTCCATTGATGTGAGACTCAGCTTATAGAAATACAGCTCCATGAAAATATAAACTTGAGCCCTGGCTAGTGTGGCTCAGTGGATTGTGTGCTGGCCTGCAAACCTAAGGGTTGCTGGTTAGATTCCCGGTCAGGGCACATGCCTGGGTTGCAGACCAGGTCCTCAGTTGGGGGCGTGTGAAAGGCAATCAACTGATTGATGTATCTCTTGCACATCGATATATTTCTCCCTCTGTTTCTCCCTGCTTTCCTCTCTGTCTAAAAATAAGTAAATGGAATCTTTAAAAACAAATAAGTAGAGAATATAAACTTTAAAATAATTGGATTTAAGTGTTTTTGTTTTTTTTTTAACTAGCATAAAACTAGTTTCAGCTGACAGCTGGTGTAATTCTTACTTTGTTAACATCTTTCTTGGTAAAGGAGAAGGGTCATGGCCTTTTCGGAGAAGTGATGAGATAGAAATGGCCCTTGATGACACACATTTCACCAGGTTTAGATGAGTGTAGATGTGATAATCAGAGTGAGTGAGGCCAGGCTGCTGGTGAGAATTGTTCTCTAGCACTGACTGACCTAGGTGGCACATGACTGTTCCATTTACACCTATTGTAAATCAGGAATTTCAAATTATGTTTCCAAAAACCAAAGGGTCTCTTAAAGTGGCATGTTATAATAGTAATAAAGGAAGTGTTATTTCTATGAAGAGAAGCTTAGATTTAATGGTTAATATTTTTAATTGAATCCCTCTATTTAAAAGAGAAAGGTGATCACTTTTTGACTTGCTGAAATGTTCAACCTGCAGGGCACGTGGAAGAGTAATGTGCATTGTTTCTCAGTATCTCTGGAAGTGATGCTGAGCCAGTGCACTCTGAACTGGTTGTGCTCATTATAGAGAGGGGTGCACTGCTAATGCTAGACCCTGCATTCCCTGAGAGCTTGAGGAGGTCTTGATGGCAACAGAACCAAGTCCTTCATGAGCAGCAAGGTTGGAAGGGGAAAGGGAGTGGGGGAGGGGATCCAGTCCTTGGTATCCCTTCTGACAGAGAATGCCTTCCCATCTGGTATTGAAGCAGAAAGAGAAACTTTCCCTAGGTAGGCCTCTTTGCACCTGCTTGTATGGTAGTACTGATTGTTTTCACCCCTGGTACTAGTTGGCCACTAGGTGCCTTCCTGGTCAGGCCATATGCAGTTGCTGTGGCCTAGGTGGCTGACTGGGTTGGATTGCACGTTGTAAGGAATGTGTATGCCCTAATGCTAATTCATTTGCCTTTTTAACAAAGAAGTTTTTTAAGGACTTAAAAATAGATAAAGCACACTTTGTTTTATTATCAAAGAGATGTGTGTAGCTAATTACGCCAATATAATGTGCTGAATCTTTTAGTATAGTGAATTTTT